TATCCGATAAAGTGCCTCACATGTGTCTTACATGTCCGAAAAAGTGCCTTACATGTGTGTTACACATCCAATAAAGTGCCTCACATGTGTGTTACATATCCGATAAAGTGCCTTACATGTGTGTTACATATCCGATAAAGTGCCTCACATGTGTGTTACATATCCGATAAAGTGCCTTACATGTGTGTTACATATCCGATAAAGTGCCTTACATGTGTCTTACATGTCCGAAAAAGTGCCTTACATGTGTGTTACATATCCGATAGAGTGCCTCACATGTGTGTTACATATTCAATAAAGTGTCTCACATGTTTGTTACATATCCGATAAAGTGCCTCATATGTGTGTTACATATCCGATAAGTGGCGGTCGGGTAGCCTAGTGGTTAAAGCGTTCGCTCGTCACGCCGAAGACCCGGGTTCGATTCCCGACATGGGTACAATGTGTGAAGCCCATTTCTGGTGTCCCCCGCCGTGATATTGCTGGAATATTGCTTAAAGCGGCGTAAAACCATACTCACTCACTCACTCACTCACTCACTCACTCACTCACTCACATATCCGATTAAGTGCCTCACATGCGTGTTACATATCCGATAAAGTGCCTCACATGTATGTTATACATCCAATAAAGTGCCTCACATGTTTGTTACATATCCGATAAAGTGCCTCATATGTGTGTTACATATCCGATAAAGTGCCTTACGTGTGTGTTTCATGTCCGAAAAAGTGTCTTATATGTGTCACATATCCGATAAAGTGCCTAGCAATTCTACCCCCAGTGAAAAGTGAGCAGCACTTAATAGCATTTATCAATTATCTAACAACAAAATATATAACGCCAATGCCAGATGATAAGCATGTTCGCCGACATAGATTCCATTGGGCGTAAAGGGTAAAATAGCGAGGAAAGTTATATGAATGGATCACAAAAGATCAGTGATAACACCAGGTGTTGGCGAAAAGGGTAAGCATGTCCTGCCCTACCGATATATGAAGCACCCGCCACTGAAACAATTTGCATACAGAAGTAAGTGTTCGTTGCCTGACGCCGCACAGCAGGACTCGACGGCCTGTAAACAAACCAGGCACTCTAGTGCCAAAATCTAGTGACATGATAGCGAATTTTAAGATTTACATGAAACTGAAAACTATTTGTTAATTTTGAATTGGTATTTGTAACAAATTAGGGGATACCCGTTTAGATGATCGGCTGTTTTTTTACATATTTTACTGAAAGAAGCGTTTGGTATCAGCTTGATATTTGTGGCTAAATGAAGATATTTTACCCGCGTTTCACGTGACTGCTGGACGTGATTATCTCGATAATTTGAAAGGATTACAGATATTATTTTACAAAATGAATAAGGTTAACACGTCTGGAAAATATCTCTAAGTTACCTCCAATACAGTATATTCCTTGAACTTTCTGAACTACTCTTTAAGCAATGAGTACCAACAGCTTTACACAAATTGCACAAGGATGAATACGCAAGTGACACATTTGTCACAAGCTTGATGTTCTTCAAGTGTTATCGCTAACAGTAAACTCGTCTGTTGTTTCAAAGTTTATATTTCCCAACCGGATTTGAAAGAGACCTAAGTGAAATTTGTTCCTTATCCTTTACAAATCTTGCGATCAATACCACACTCCGTCGCAGTGGTGACTCAGCATAACACCACTGCCACAGGCTAATTTGCATATCACGTGACCGGACTTTTCTCTTGTTTGTAAACAAACGCGCTTTTTCAGAAATCAGTATAGAACGGACTAATGCAAGCATTTGGGGGCGCTTTACATATTGTTTTGCATAACTATATAGATATGCTACTACAACTGCGACAGTGAGTTGCATGACAATATATATTTATGCATCAAAGTGACCGTGTCGCTAGCTCTCCGTTTGGCTTCGATGACAGCACGTGGAGCCGTACAACCAATGCAAACATAGGATAACTACGCAAAAACAAGTAGATTTTTACGTATTTGCATACTTTCTAAATGAAAGTTAACCATTCTTTGACATTTGTTTATGAAAATGTGTAGACTTGTCAAACATGAAACGGATGAACAGCATATGCAATATCTTGAATGGACTGTGAAAGATGTGACGAATCGTCACATGGCGCTGGCCTGTGGCAGAGGTACTATGCTAGCTGGCTGCCGGCCGCATGGAACTCTGGGTAGGAGAGTGGATCAATACTTGCTATAGAATCCTGTGTCCCATCTTTCGTTAAGTATGTATATACAACACGTTGATATATATATATATATATATATATATATATATATATATATATATATATATATACTCTTTATAAAGGAAACGCAAAGCCCAATTTGTGTGAGGTTGGAAAGTACATTTATACGAGGAAACGTACAAGATATTGAGCCAAAATGTGGAGAGAACATATTTGGTGATTGTAGTCACGTCAGTTATCGGTACATAGGAAAAGTCCAGGGTGAAGGTCAGCTACCATCAATAACGCGTATGTCCCCCGTTGGAATCGAGAGCGGCCTGACATCTCCTGCCCATGGAAGAGACGAGTATGCGAATCACATCCTGGGGAATGGTAGCCCACTCGGCCTGCAACGCAAAAGCCAACTGCTGCAACGTCTCGGGTTGTGGTTGATGTCGGCGTAGCCGTCTATCCAATTCATCCCACAGGTGCTCCATCGGGATCAAATCCGGGGATATGGAGGGCCAGAGGAGAACATCAACGTTGTTGGTGTGGACAGGCTCTTGTGATCCGTGATGTATGCGGTCGAGCGTTGTCCTGCTGGAATACATCGTTGAGGTGGCTGCAACTGGGAGGACGTGTGGTAGGAGAATTTCGTTGATGTATCGTTGAGCGGTACGAGTGCCCGGGATATGGACCAAACCTGTCCTGCCATGATGAGAAGTTTCCGCCTACATCATGACGCTACCCCAGGCAGGCAATCAAAAACCCTGCACTTTAAAACCGTTCATAGTGCTGCTGCACGTGCAGTCCGTGCAGCTCCAGGGCTCTTTCGTTAATGCACTGGGTGCGTTTTTCGAATTGTACGTGTTTCCCGACTCATGGTTCCTATGTCCTTGTTGCCACCATGTTAATCCGGGAATTTGTCACCGACACTATAACACATTAAACCTCTTCCTTTTGCACCTCTTGGTCCGCTAATTTCGCTTTTATGGCCCAAAATATCCTGTTTGCGTTCTTATTTTGAAGAGTATATATATAACTTAATTAACAGTTCGCAGAGGTTTCCATAACACTGGTCTGTGGTCGAGAATACATTTTGAAATTATATAAATGTTTAAGGAAAAGTCTTTGAAATAAATAACACAGGAAAGTGAAAATATGGATATCAACTCTTTATTATGAGGAACTCAACGTATACTCCGAAACGTCTTCTTCCTCAAAATAAAGAACTTGACACCCATACATTCTCTTTTGTCAAAGAAATCATTTTGTGAATATTTTATGTCTGTTTCAGTTACTTTTGAAGTTCAGAAACCAACGATCACGGGTGTGATATATGTGAGAATAGAATTCAAGAGAAGGTAAGGTGAAATAGGGTTCAACATCACGTCCAAAATTATTGCATTTATATAACGTGTGTGTGTGTGTGTGCACGTAGCTGCTTGAACTAGTCCTTACTAATGCCGATTTATAGTGCTAGCCCACTGATATACCTTGCCGCAGCTTAACACGAACACCCCACTCCAAGCCGACCAGTCCTTGTTTGAGCCCCTTAATGCCGAACGCCAGACAGGGTAACACCTAGTGCCATGTTTTAACGTCTTTTGGTATGACGCGGCCGGGGATCGAACACCCGGCCTTCTGCTCTCCGAGCGTACGCTCTACCACAAGACTAGTAACGACAGTCCCACTGGTTGAGATCGACTTTGCAATAACAGCGTACTTATGGACAGGCCCCTCCCACACTGCAACCATTACAATGTATGACCATGACATCAAGGGTTGCTACACCAGGAGCATTTGTACAATGTACCAACATCAAATCAAGGGTTGCTACACCAAAAGGCATGTACAATACACCACCATGACATCAAGGGCTGCTACAGCAGGAACATTTGTACAATGTACCACCATGACAGCAAGGGTTGCTAGATCAGGAGGCATGTACAATGTACCACCATGACATCAAGGGCTGCTACACCAGGAGGCATGTGCAAATGTACCACAATGACATCAAGGTCTGCTACAGCAGGAGGTATGTGCAATGTACCATCATGACATCAAGGTCTGCTACAGCAGGAGCATTTGTACAATGTACCACCATGACATCAAGGGTTGCTACACCAAGAGGCATGTACAATGTACCACCCTGACGGCAAGGACTGCTAGATCAGGAGGATTCGTACAATGTACCGCCATGACATCAAGGAAGCTAGATCAGGGGGCATGTACAATGTGCCACCATGACATCAAGGGCTTCTACACCAGGAGCATTTGTACAATGTACCACCCTGACGGCAAGGGCTGCTAGATCAGGGGGATTTGTACAATACACAACCATGACATCAAGGGATGCTAGATCAGGAGGCATGTACAATGTACCACAATGACAACAAGGGCTGCTACACCAGGAGCATTTGTACAATTTGTCACCATGACATCAAGGGCTGCTACACCAGGAGCCATGTACAATTTGTCCCCATCACATCAAGCGCTGCAACATCAGGAGGCATGTACAATGTACCACCATGACATCAAAAGGTATGTCAATATTATTCTCCCATGTGTTTACCAGGAGGTCAATATTGTGGAGGCACCTTTAAAACACAGCCATAGTTAAGGGTCAGTGTGTCTGTGGATTCGGTAGACACACACAAATAGTTTTGGGTCAATATGGCGACAGTCTCTTGCACGGACATTTTCATGCATCTTTAGTTCCAAGAAGGTATTTTTGTAACAGAATATGTAAGAGTTTCTATCTTCTAACATAATCACAAGCCTTTTTCAATCTATTAAGGAAGCATAGAAACGATGATCAGGTTTTCGTGAGTATTTATTGGAGAGGGCATGTAGTACAAACATATAGTCTGCTGCTAACATCACGTTTACTTACGTTTATATTCTTAATCTTTCTTCAACAAAAAAAGAATATTTTCCCCATGGTGTCCCCAGATTCGAGCATGGGTATAATTAAACTAACAATCCATGCATCTGAAAAAATATCAGTGTTCAAGATAGTATAATAAAATATCTTTAAATACGGAATATAGTCTAGTGAATGCTTCAGAAACTCAGGAGCTACACAACAATTCGATATATATGAATGTTTGTATGTATGTATGTATGTATGTATGTATGTATGTATGTATGTATGTATGTAGTGAATGCTTCAGAAACTCAGGAGCTACACAACAATTCGATATGTATGTACGTATGTATGTATGTATGTATGTATGTATGTGTGTATATTTGATCCCTTTTAATTCTCTGTATTCGTTTCTTGTCTTTCAAATTGCGATCCAGCAAAATAGAACTCTGTTAATTTCTCAAAAGACGTATTAAATGTTCATTTACCAAGAAATTGCTGAATGGTTGCTTGAGCATGATCAGAGATAAATTATCAGTTGATGAGTGTTTCCCTGCATCATTCCATATGTATCGTCGCGCTATTCTCTCATTAAACTCACCAAACATATGTATATCTATATCGCATGTGTTTGACATTTGTGGGGGAGTATAAACTCAACCTAATGCCATTGTATCAGTTGTGCCAATCACCTTTACAAAACCTTTAATGCGTACAGCGTACAACTTACAGAGTTTACAGCGTAGAGCCTTCCAAAATGACGAGAAATACTATAATGTAGAGTGCTTCCTCTACCGGATATCTCGCACACTTGCTACCACACTAAGACATACACAATCTCAAAACAAATTCTCAAATTTATCAGTGTCATATAACACTGTATCAAGTAATGCAGAAAAAAACATTCACCAGGAAATTATACCAATGTGGATCATCAAATTTTAAATTCTACATTTGAGTACAAGCCATTTTTGTTCCATGTTCCAGCTCGATTAGATGGAACCACAGAATCTGCTTTATTGCCTTGATTACACCCATGTCAACCTGTGTGATCGTAATACTGAATGAGAAAAAATATATTTCTTATGTCAAAGTGCTATAACGTGTGTTCTCTGTTTGAATTAAAAAGAAATTCATATGACGGTGGCGGTTGAATGTCTGCCTGTTGTCCGCTTGGAGTGTAGGAAGGTGGTGGTGCAATATCTGTTTGCTGTCCACTAAATGTGGCACTAGGGGATGATCCTATGTCCGTTTGATGTCCACAATATGTGGCACTAGGGAGTGGTCCTATGTCCGTTTGATGTCCACAATATGTGGCACTAGGGAGTGGTCCTATGTCCGTTTGATGTCCACAATATGTGGCACTAGGGAGTGGGCCTACGTTCGTTTGATGTCCACAATATGTGGCACTAGGGAGTGGTCCTATTTCCGTTTGATGTCCACAATATGTGGCACTAGGGAGTGGTCCTACGTTCGTTTGATGCCCACAATATGTGGCACTAGGGAGTGGTCCTATGTCCGTTTGATGTTCACAATATGTGGCACTAGAGATGTGGTCCTACGTTCGTTTGATGTCCACAATATGTGGCACTAGGGAGTGGTCCTACGTTCGTTTGATGTCCACAATACGTGGCACTAGGGAGTGGTCCTACGTTCGTTTGATGTCCACAATACGTGGCACTAGGTAGTGGTCCTATGTCCGTTTGATGTCCACAATATGTGGCACTAGGGAGTGGTCCTACGTTCGTTTGATGCCCACATTATGTGGCACTAGGGAGTGGTCTTATGTCCGTTTGATGTTCACAATATGTGGCACTAGAGTTGTGGTCCTACGTTCGTTTGATGTCCACAATATGTGGCACTAGGGAGTGGTCCTACGTTCGTTTGATGTCCACAATATGTGGCACTAGGGAGTGGTCCCACGTTCGTTTGATGTCCACAATATGTGGCGCAAGGGGCTGTTGCAATATTCGTGTCTTGTCCACTATTTGTGGTGCAATGTGTCAGTGCAACATCCGTTTGTTGTCCACTATATGTGGCCCAAGGGGGTGGTGCAATGTTCGTTTCTTGTGGAGGATACATGTCCTTAAAATATGCTGCCCATGCTTGAGGTGAAATACCCATTTCAATACTCTTTTTTAAATTTCTTGCAATCTCTTGAAGTAATACAAAACATTTTTTTACAGCGTACAGAGTTTACAGCGTATAGCCTTTCAAAATGATGAGTACAGAGTTTACAGCGTATAGCCTTTCCAAATGATGAGTACAGAGTTTACAGCGTATAGCCTTTCCAAATAGTGAGTACAGAGTTTACAGCGTATAGCCTTTCCAAATGATGAGTACAGAGTTTACAGCGTATAGCCTTTCCAAATGATGAGTACAGAGTTTACAGCGTATAGCCTTTCCAAATGATGAGTTCAGAGTTTACAGCGTTTTGCCTTTTTAATGAAGAGTGCTACCCCAACGGGATCTCTCGCACACTGATTTATGTGCTTTGCAAGCACACTTTGACATATACAATTTAAAGACAAATTCTCAATTTTATAAGTGTCATATAATACTGTTTTAGTTATGCAGAGAATGTCAACTTCACCAGAAAATTATACCTATCTGGATCATCTACATTTGAGTAGAAGCCATTTTTGTTCCATGTTCAAGCTGAATTAGAGCGAACCTCACAAGCTGCTTTAATGCCTTGATTGCACCCATGTCACCCTGTGTCTTTGTAATACTAGAGGAGACAAAATATATTTGTCATGTCAAAGTGCTATAACGGTGGTTCATTTTCGCATTTCATTTCTTATTGGGTGTGTTCTCTGTTTGAATTAAAAAGAGATTCATATGACGGTGGCGGGAGAATGTTTGCCTGTTGCCCACTTGGAGTGTAGGGAGGTGGTGGTGCAATATCTGTTTGCTGTCCACTATATGAGGCGCTAAGGGATGATCCTATGTCCGTTTGTTGTTCACAATATGTGGCACTAGGGAGTGGTCCTACGTTCGTTTGTTGTCCACCATATGTGGCGCAAGGGGCTGTTGCAATATCCGTGTCTTGTCTACTATTTGTGGTGCAATGTGTCAGTGCAACATCCGTTTGTTGTCCACTATATGTGGCCAAAGGGGGTGGTGCAATGTTCGTTTCTCGTGGAGGACACATTATGTTATTGCCATCAAAATCGCCACTGATGTAGCTTGTAAAATTGCCCGCAAAAGAGTTCGCGTGGGTTGTATTGGTGGACCTCATAGTTATCGGGACCTGCCCTGGTAATAACTTCTGAGATGGAGGGACTATATCTGTGTTGTCAAGAGCCATCTGTTCCTCATTTTGTTTCCTCTTCTTTCTCATGCAGCAAACACATGTAACAAAGATTGGGAGGATGCATGCGATGATAATGAATATTTTTCCTGTTAATCCGTCGTCCTCGGCGACATCCTCGGCGTCCTCGTCATTGCCCGAAACCAATACCGGTGGATCTTTAAACAAATGAAAATTATAAAAAACACTTGACAGCGTACATTACGCTAAAAACGTCCATGGTTCGAATCCATTGGACGCTTACACAAAATATTGATATGTTTTCCCCACGACCTGTTGTTCACAGGTGAAGTATTCCACAACACCGTAATCATGAAAATCTCAGTAGACTTCACTAATGCACGGAGATTTAACTTTTACAAAGTATTATAATTGGGTGAGGTTAGGTGAAATATTGTTTAATGTTGCGTTCAAGATTATTGCACTTATAGGCCGACATGCATGTGCGAGTATTGCTGATTTAACTAGTCCAGACTAATACCAGTTTTATTGTGCTGTCCCACCGCCATACCATGCCACAGTTTACCAGACTACTTAGACACAGCATACTGACTTCGAGGTATTCAGTCCTTGTTTTATGCCATTAATACCATTGGCCAGACAGGTTAACAAGTACCGTCTTTTAACGTCCATTAATGAAGCGGCCAGATTATGAAACGCCGATCCTTCGCTCTCAGGGCCGACGCTTTATCAATCAGACCACGAAGTCGATCTATTATAAGGATAACATTATTAATCAAATGTACCTACAATACAAGCCACGCCTTTTCTGGGCAATGAAACAATTTATCCCTTATCATATCATTTCTGTTATTGAAATTAAATTCAAGTTTTGCATTTGGGATGAAGAAGTTTGTTTATGGTTATGAAATATTGTGACCAGGTCAGTATATGCAATCTTTAAAGAACTTTCACGCATGTACATAATACCTTCAACACTCACCTGGTTTGTAAGGACAAGTTCCAGAGTACTTGTCACAGATGCCATAACTACACGAACACGGTCGAGAACAGTCTAAGCCATACCAGCCATCGGTACAGTCGAAATAACACATGCCATCACGAAAACATCTTCTACAATTCGGTTTACATTCTTCACACTCTCCATAACTTCTGTAATATCCCTTTTCGCACATTAAACATTCATCTGCACATATTCTACAGCCCTCCGTACAATCTGAAACAAAGACGGATATATATTTATGTGTAGCCAATTACATATACTTATTTCAGTTGTTTCTTCTAGCATGTGAACACCAGGGACAGCATCGACACCATCACCCCACTATTGTCCCCACTGACATCAATAACATCGCCACCAATCATCAGAATGACCACAATAATCGCCACTATTTGCACAATCCATGATAACGCCTGATTCCATCGACCAAATATCTGTCCTTTTTGTAATCGTGATAGTGGAGAACACTGCATATTACTATGAGAAACAGGACTGGAAATTTTGATGACAAATAATAACGATAGTCAAGACAATTTTGGTAATGAAAGTCATCTTGGTGGTATCAGTGATGAAGATATTTCTATGGGGCCAGGCGTTATCATGGATGGTGAAAATAGTGATGTCAGTCGGAATAGTGATGTGGTGATGGTGTCGATGTTGTCCCTGGTGTTCTCATGGTTTACCAACGGCAATAGATGTAATGTTGGTTTCATTGTCTGTTGTTTAACATCAGTCAATAACGGTTTCATCATAACTGTCTGACATACCCCAACTGTTGCGAGAATGGTCACCTGTCGACTATCGAGTTGCAATGAATGCCTGACAACATGACCTCAATTCGATAACGAGAAAGCCTTCGATCGTGTTTGGCTTGACGGTCTCTTCTACAAATTACATAAATTTGGTATCTACGTCTTTTTTACAATTCTATGTACTCTTTGCTGGCTTTAAATCTGCTGTTTTCCCTGTTAAACAGGGTGTAGGTCAGGGTCGTGTCATATCAGCATGGCTCTTTACTCTTTATATAAACGATTTACTTCATGAACTAAGCAATTCCGGTTGTGGACTATGTCTCCCATGGGGACGATGCCCAGGAATACTGCTGGCAGACGACACGACCTTGATCAGCTATAACACAACAGGTCTTCAAATGCTCCTAAACGTTGCAGAAAATTATGGTAACAAGTGGCAGTTAAAATACAATGTGTTCAAAAGTGCTGTCCTAACTTTTGGATGTAGTAAAACCACAGTGTCGCCAGAACATCTTTACTTTGGTAAGATAAAATTACCTGTTCAAGAGGCAATTGTCTATGCGAGAGTGCACAAAAGTAGGTTAAACCTTCTGTTGAAAGAACGAGGTTAGTATGTGAAAAACTGGGAAAATTGATAAATGTAAACCATGATTCTGACTTGTACTTCGGTGGACTTAATCCTTTAGCAGCCGTGCGCATCTGGCAACGAGTGATATTACCCTGTGGCTTATATGGATGTAATGTGTGGGGGAAAACTATCCTTAAAGGAATATGAAATGCTCACAATCACTCAACGCTATTTCTGTAAGAAAATCCAGGATTTTAATAAGCGTATGCCTGACACAATTGGTGTTTTATCAGTACAAGGATACATTGATCAACAAAAGCTTTTGCTCCTTGGTAATCTATGTAATTCAAACCTAATATATATTTTCAAACAAAAGTTTTAGTCCGACTTGGAAAGTTTAGATATAAAGCAACACTAGTTAATAAGAACAAGTGGAACACGAAATCACATATCTTTAGCATGCTACGTCTTGTCTCCAAATATAATTTGTCTGACGAGGTTAATGATTATATAATGTGTTCAAATTTCATCAAGAAACGATTACGGTCAAAACTGGTGAAAGAAAAGATTCACCTACACGAAAAACAATTACTAAACAATGCGCTTCTGAGCAGAATATCTCTGTCTAGATATCTAACAATACGATCTGGACGAGAACAAAGGTTATGGAAACTTGCTCTCGATAGACCAGAATATTTTACTTCTATAGCTAGACTAGTTCGCTTAGGTTCAGTGCCAAAGGAATGTATTTGTGGAACAGTTGTGAATGATATAGTGAAACACGTTTCCATGTCATGGCAAAAGAATTTAGAAGAAAGAAATATTATACCTGTCAGTTGTAAAATCATTGACTTCTTCTGACGTATATGTATACATGTGTGTGTGTGTGTGTGTGTGTGTGTGTGTGTGTGTGTGTGTGTGTGTGTGTGTGCAGATGTTGTCTTTTCACTGTATACCTTGAACTCTTCATGAATTGGAGGAACTAAAGAAAATCTATCTATCCATCCATGAAGATGATTGGACAACGGATGTTATATATTTGATAATGGAGGCATTTATGTGATGGTAATGCAGAACACACACAATAACAAACCGGATTATCCGACACTGAAACACCAATACTGTAGTATTCGTGCGACTTGTGTGGCCCCAAAGCAAACAACAAAGGATCATAATCTGGACCAATCCGTGACGAAACTCTAAAGCGCCCAAGACTTCTTGGCAACCAGTGCAAACTTTACCTGTAACTAACGATGACCTGTTTCAACTGTTGCTACAAATATGCCTTCATAATAAAAAGGGTACATACTTGTTGATGATGCTGCCACCCCATCCAACAGGGCCACCAGGAGGCCCAGGACCAGGAACCGCCAGAACATCTCCTGCTGCCAGTGTGTCATTGGATCTGTGAAAGAAACAACAGGGTGCCGTTGAACAAAGCGATCTGAGCGCTGAGGTGATCGTAAGTTTATGTTAAAGTAGGGGAGTTACGATCATCCTAGTGCCACAGTTGTCAGTCAGTGTTAAGGTAGGGGAGTTACGATCGTCTTAGCACAAATTGATAAGATCGCTTTGTGGAACGGGTCCAGGAATGTAAACGAGCAGCTTGGTACAAATATATCCAAAACATCTCTTATTTCTCTGCAGAAAACAACAAGGCATATGACAGAGCATCTTTCGATTCGTAGACACTACACAGATTGATGAAACGCAGCTCAGGTGTGATATTGACACACCAAAGATGATAATGCTGCCTGACTTTACTCTTCGCAGCAAGCTATTTGCAATTAAAAGAGGCTCGTTTCACAAGGTATGTGAGTTACGATCGCCCTAGCGCAAAGATCGCTTTATGGAACAGGGCCTTGGTCTTTTAAAGAAACAACCAGGCGTCTAGGCCTGATGAGGTTCCACCAGGCCATCTTGGGCAATTTTGACTTTTGAAGTAAGTAGATTAAAACTTGATTTTATATTGCTTTGTGATAACCCAAACCTGTCTCACTGTTGACATACTAAGCTACAGGTGTCCGTATTAATTAAACTTCCCCACATTTTGAATTATTCAATACCTAATTATTGAAGGGTTATATCGTGTGAGTGAGTGAATAAGATTTTACGCCGCTTTTGGCAATATTGGCGGTGGACAACAGAAATGGGCTCCACATATTGTACCCATGTTGAGAATATAACCTGGATCTTCGCGTGATGAGCGAACGCCTTAACCACTGGGTTACCCCACCGCCCATAACATCATGGCATGCCATACATTATACAATGCTGTGCAGTCTTTAGTCGACCTGCAAAATGCCATGTAACACAAAAGAAGGCAAAGTCATACCATGACTCCACTTTATACTATGATTGACTGATATTAAAATATAAGTTGAATTTTATATTTTTCAAAGTGAAATGACGTTAATCATGTTAATTGTGACAACTATGCAATAACTGTAACATGATTGTGAGAACATCTCCAGAATTACAAATGTTCGTAAATTATACACTTTTCAAAACTATGATACAAAACTAACAATACCCCGAGGGAGAGTTGATTCATAGTTTATTGTGACTTAAATGTATCAGGTAGTCATGCTTGGTGACTTGCATACCATCACACCCCGACGGCTAGGAACGGGTTTCGGTTTATTAACCTCTAGTTAGCCTGGTCTAGATGCGATTACGTTAATGATGTTATGACATAGCTACAAGATTGCTTACTACACCGTTAAACAATATTCACTCCCTGTCCCCTTGATAAAAGTAATAGATCACCATACCACTGGACTTAGGCGTAATTTAATGTGATAGTGTTATGTTGGGTAGATTTAATTTCAACAATTTTTCTATACTTTAATGCTTCAATTTGCAGGATACGAACATCATTATGGATCTGGTTTAACCGATGTAGATATAAAGGTGCATCAGAGTTTCTTTATTTCACCACACCAATGAATTACATACAATCTCAACAAACCACACCTTTTCTAATTGACCTAGTTTGGTATCATGAACATTGAATAATACGATCCCAAAATGCTACGGTCTCTCACATGTTCTACGTCCCATCTGATAACCATGAAAGAATTTCTGATATACCGTTTCTAAAATCTGGTTTGGAAGGCAGAAAATGCTAACGCAAATTATATTTTCACAACCTATTGCACAAAAATGTTTATCCTTTACACCGGCAAATACACTTCCTCCATCTCCACCAGTTTTGTAATCATCCGTGCGATGTCTGTGGGAAAGAATCAATACAACTGTCCGTCTATCACAGTTTTATTCGAACAATGCCATTTGGCCGAAGATGGCATCTCAAACAGTATCCAAACTAATCGTTATTTATGACACATGTTCTTTTCAATTTCTAATACAATGATACTTATTCAGTGATTCCAATGATAGTCAACATTCTTACCTATATCCACTGAACGACGATTGGAATAAAACAACAAAACAGCTGCCTCACATCTAGACTGGTTTCCGGATTCTCCGCTTGGTGTCGTCGCTGCTCGTACAAACGGAATCTAGTCGACCCCGCCTCAAGCAGCGCAAATCTCAGTGATCCGTCGTCGGTACCAGTTTAGGCAGTCTCATATGATATTGACAGACTGCTCTATGTTCATTTCGCGATAGTGTTCAAAGCAATATATTCACAGCGCACACCAGTGATGTAAAGACTTAGTGACGACCGTTCCTTGCCATCATGTCAAGGAAATCGCTCGCGGGCGGTGTTAACCATCGATAATTACCTGTGAATAATGATGCCAATGTTATGCTGACATGGGCGGTGTTCACCGTCAATAGTTCCCTGTGGTTAATGACACAAATTGGGAGCTTACCGTCACAAGTAACAATGAGTTTGTGTTAAGAAGCTGATAATATATAATTTCATGTATACGAAGTGCACTCACTACATTTTGATATACCGATTGACCACTGAAGATCCGGGTTAAAATAGGTCTTCAGCAACACATGCTTGTCGTTTGAGGCGACTAACAGGATCGGTGGTCAGGATCTCTGATGGGGTGGCCAGGCCCGTCATGTAGCTGGAATATTGCTGAGTGTGGCGTTAAACACGAACCTACAAACATACATGTTTTGAATTAAATTTAACATATTTCAGAAGAAGGAATTTTTGTTACAGATTATGTAAGAGATTCAACCTATTAACAAAGTCTTAAGCCTGTTTTAATATATGAAGGAAGCATAAAAACGATGTTAGGTTTTCGTAAGTATTTATTAAAGAAGGCATGTAAATGCAAACATATTGTCCATGGTGAATATTTTCCTATAGTGTTTAAAGGAGATATACCCTTATAATTATTTGGAAGTGTGGTGTCCCCAGATTCGTGTATGGGTATAATCAAACTAACAGTCCATGCATCTGGAAATATCATATAATATGTTTAAATGTGTCACAGTCCAGTGAATGCTCACGAAATGTAGCAGGTACGCCATCTCTCCCGGATGATTTGACAGCTTTAAGATTTGGGCGATTTGTTTCTTCTTTCGTAGTCTATTATCTGAACTGACTGCATATCAGTACTGTTACATTGATCAGGGTTCATACAATCATGATCACATCCGACATTATATACATTGATATCAAATTCGTTACTCTGTCCAGTTTCAGGATTTAACATGTCCTTAAAATATGCTGCCCATGCTTGAGGTGAAATACCCATTTCAATACTCTTTTTTAAATTTCTTGCAATCTCTTGAAGTAATACAAAACATTGTTTTACAGCGTACAGAGTTTACAGCGTATAGCCTTTCAAAATGATGAGTACAGACTGAGTTTACAGCGTATAGCCTTTCCAAATGATGAGTACAGAGTTTACAGCGTATAGCCTTTCAAAATGATGAGTACAGAGTTTACAGCGTATAGCCATAAAAGGCGACTATGCTTGTCGTAAAAGGCGACTAACGGGATCGGGTGGTCAGGCTCTCTCGATCGATCCCAATTGCCTGGATCGATGCTCATGATGTCAATCACTGGAATGTCTGGTCCAGACTCGATTATTTACAGACCGCCGTCATATAGCTGGAATAATGCTGAGTGCGGCGTAAAACAACAAACCAACCAACCAAAAAGCCTTTCCAAATGATGAGTACAGAGTTTACATCGTATAGCCTTTCCAAATGATGAGTATATTGCTGAGTGCGGCGTTAAACAACAAACTAACCAACCAAAAAGCCTTTCCAAATGATGAGTACAGAGTTTACAGCGTATAGCCTTTCCAAATGATGAGTACAGAGTTTACAGTGTATAGCCTTTCCAAATGGTGAGTACAGAGTTTACAGCGTATAGCCTTTCAAAATGATGAGTACAGAGTTTACAGCGTATAGCCATAAAAGGCGACTTTGCTTGTCGTAAAAGGCGACTAACGGGATCGGGTGGTCAGGCTCTCTCGATCGATCCCAATTGCCTGGATCGATGCTCATGATGTCAATCACTGGAATGTCTGGTCCAGACTCGATTATTTACAGACCGCCGTCATATAGCTGGAATAATGCTGAGTGCGGCGTAAAACAACAAACCAACCAACCAAAAAGCCTTTCCAAATGATGAGTACAAAGTTTACATCGTATAGCCTTTCCAAATGATGAGTATATTGCTGAGTGCGGCGTTAAACAACAAACCAACCAACCAAAAAGCCTTTCCAAATGATGAGTACAGAGTTTACAGCGTATAGCCTTTCCAAAAAGTGAGTATATTGCTGAGTGCGGCGTTAAACAACAAACCAACCAACCAAAAAGCCTTTCAAAATGTTGAGTACAGAGTTTACAGCGTATAGCCTTTCAAAATGATGAGTCCAGAGTTTACAGCGTATAGCCTTTCCAAATGATGAGTACAGAGTTTACAGCGTATAGCCTTATCTCGCACACTGATTTATGTGCTTTGCAATAAAATGACATAGAAAATCTAAAGACAAATTCTCAATTTTATCAGTGTCATATAACACTGTTTCAGTTATGCAGAGAATGTCAAACTTCACCAGAAAATTATACCTATCTGGATCATCTACATTTGAGTACAAGCCATTTTTGTTCCATGTTCCAGCGGAATTAGATCGAACCACACAAGCTGCTTTAATGCCTTGATTGCACCCATGTCACCCTGTGTCTTTGTAATACTGGAGGAGACAAAATATATTTGTTATGTCAAAGTGCTATAACGGTGGTTCATTTTCGCATTTCATTTCTTCTTGGGTGTGTTCTCTGTTTGAATTAAAAAGAGATTCATATGACGGTGGCGGGAGAATGTCTACCTGTTGCCCACTTGGAGTGTAGGGAGGTGGTGGTGCAATATCTGTTTGCTGTCCACTATATGAGGCGCTAGGGGATGATCCTATGTCCATTTGTTGTCCACAATATGTGGCGCATGGGGGCGGTGCAATGTCCGTTTGATGTCCACAATATGTGGCACTAGGGAGTGGTCCTACGTTCGTTTGTTGTCCACCATATGTGGCGCAAGGGGCTGTTGCAATATCCGTGTCTTGTCTACTATTTGTGGTGCAATGTGTCAGTGCAACATCCGTTTGTTGTCCACAATATGTGGCACTAGGGAGTGGTCCTACGTTCGTTTGTTGTCCACCATATGTGGCGCAAGGGGGCGGTGCAATGTCCGTTTGATGTCCGCAATATGACGCACTAGCGGTGGTGTTTGTTGTCCACCATATGTGGCGCAAGGGGGTAGTGCAACAGCACGTTTCCTGTCCACTACTGATGTAGCTTGACAAATTGTCCGTAAAAAAGTTCGCGTAGGTTGTATTGGTGGACCTCATAGTAATCGGGACCTGCCCTGGTAATGACTTCTGAGATGGAGGGACTATATCTGTGTTGTCAAGGTCCATCTGTTCCACATTTGGTTCCCTGTTCTTTGGCATGCAGCGAATACATGTTATAAAGATTGGGAGGATGCATGCGAGGCCAATGAATATTTTATCTGCTAATCCCCCTTCCTCTGCGTCCTCCTCATTGCCAGAAACCAATACGGGTGGATCTATAAACAAATGAAAGTAATAAAAAAAAAACTTGACATTACGCTAAACAAACGTCCAAGGTTCGAATCTATCGGACGCTAATACGCAAAATGCTTCTGGCATTTTAATTCACTACTATATATTATATCAAATGCGGAGATGCCTGCATACACACATGCTTACATATGCTTCGAGATGATTAATCCTTGTTTTATACCATCAATGCCATTTGCCAGGCAGGTCAACAAATACCATCTTTTAACGTCTATTGGTTTGACGCGGCACGATTTCGATTCCGGGCAGATAATTTGTCAGTTAGACCACGTAGTCGGTCAATTATAAGGGTTATAATATTAATAACATGTACCTACAATACAAGCCACGTCCTGCTGAGCAATAAAAGAATTTATACCTCATCATATCATTTCTTATTTTGAAATTAATTTTTTTGGCATTTGGGATGAAGATGTTTGTTTACGATTAAGAAATATTGTAAACAAGAGAGTATATGCAATGTTTATAATTTCACGCAAGTACATAATACCTTGAATCCTTACCTGTTTCGTCAGGACAAGTCCCAGTGTACTTGTCACAGATGCCATAACTACACGAACACGGCCGAGAACAGTATAAGCCATACCAGCATTCTTTACAGTGGAATTTTCACATGCCATCATGAAAACATCTTCTACAATTCGGAAAACATTCTTTACACTTCCCATATCTTTTGTAATATCCATCATTGCACCATAAACATCCATCTTCACATATTTCACAGTTCCTCGTACAATCTGAAAAAAGATGGATATATATTTTTGTAAAGACAATGTTCCACAATCACTATTAGAAAAAGGATTGGCAATTCTCATGATGAAGAATAACGATAATCAAGACAATTTTGGTAATAAAAGTGATCTTGGTGATATATTTGGTATATATGATGATATTTGGTCTATGGAGTCAAGCGTTATCGTGGATGGTGAAAATAGTGATGATTATTGTGGTCATTCTGGTTATTGGTGGTGATGTCAGTGGGGATAGAGGTGGGGATGTTGTAGTCACGGTAGAAGAACCATGTAATGTAATGTTGGTTTGATTGTCTGTTGTTTTACATCAGTCAACAATAGCTTCTTCATGATAGGGTTTATCCATAATCGAGTCTAGAGTAGAATGGTCAACTGTCGAGTTGCAATGAAAGCCAATTTTATTAGGATCAGACATGGAGGAGGTATTGGGGATTTTCCTAACCCGGCATCTCCACATGGAGATGATAGAACATCGGGTGTTATATATTTGATAAACGAGGCATTAATGTGATGGTAATGCAGAACACACACAATAACAAACACAGGTTACCCGATACTGAAACACCAACACCGTAGTATTCGTACGACTTGTGTGACCTCAAAGCAAACGTCAAAGGATCATAATCGGGGCCATTCCGTGACGAAACTCTAAAGCGCCCAAGACTTCTTGGCAACCAGTGCAAACTTTACCTGTAACTAACGATGACCTGTTTCAACTGTTGCTACAAATGTGCCTTCATAATAAAAAAGGGTACATACTTGTTGATGATGCTGCCACCCCATCCAACAGGGCCACCAGGAGGCCCAGGACCAGGAACCGCCAGAACATCTCCTGCTGCCAGTGTGTCATTGGATCTGTGAAAGAAACAACAGGGTGCCGTTGAACAAAGCGATCTGAGCGCTGAGGTGATCGTAATTCAGTGTTCAAGTGGGAGAGTTACACTCATTTTAGCACCAACTTATAAGATACCTTTGAGAAACGGCTCCAGGAATGTAAACGAGCAGCTTAGTACAAATATCTCCAACAAATTTCTTATTTCTCTGCAAAATGCCATGTCACACAAAAGAAGGCAAGGTCACACCATGACTCCACTTTAAACCATGATTGACTGATATTAAAATATAAGTTGAATTTTAAATATTTTTCAAAGTGACATGATGTTAATTGTGGCAACTATGCAATAACTGTAACATGATTGTGAGAACATCTCCAGAATTACAGATGTAAGTAAATTATACACTTTTCAAAACTGTGATAGAAAACTAACAATATCCCGAGGGAGAGTTGATTCATAGTTTCTTGTGACTTAGATGTATCAGGTGGTCATGCTTAGTGACTTGCAAACCATCACACCCCGACGGCTAGGAACGGGTTTCAGTATATTAACCTCTGGTTAGCCTGGTCTAGATGCGATTACTTTTATGATGTTATGACATAGCTGCAAGGTTGCTTACTGCGCCGTTAAACAAGATTCACTTACTCCCTGCTTCCTGGATAAAGTAATAGATCACCATACCACTGGACTTAGGCTTAATATAATGTGATAGTGTTATATTGGGTAGATTTAATTTCAACATGTTTTTATACTTTAATTCGTCAATTTGCAGGATACGTAAACCATTATAAATCTGGTTTAACCGATGATGATATAAAAGTGCATCAGAGTTTCTCTATTTCACCACACTAATGAATTATATACAATCCCATACAAACCACACCCTTTTTTTGCACCAAAATGTGATCCTTTACCCAAGTAAATAACTCCCCCCATTTCCCAAGCTTGGTATTCGTCCGAGCGATGTCTGTGGAAAGAATCAATACAACTGTCCGTCTATCACAGTTTCATTCGAACAATGCCATTTGGCCGAAGATGGCATCTCAAACAGGATCCAAACTAATCGATATTTATGATACATGTTCTTTTCATTTTCTAACACAATGATACTTATTCAGTGATTCCAATCATAGTCAACATTCTTACCTATATCGACTGAACGACAGTTAGAATCCTTACCTCCAGACTGGTTTTCGGATCCTCCGCTTGGTGTCGCTGCTCGTACAAACGGAAACCAGTCGACCTCACCTCAAGCATCGTCCTTCTCAGTGATCTGTCATCGCTACCAGTTTAGGCAGTCCCATATGATGTTGACAGACGACTCTTTGTCCACTGCTGAATAGTGTTCAAATGAATATATTCACAGCCCACATCAGTTATGTAAAGTGACGGCTGTTTCTTGTTATCATGTCAAGGAAATCGGTCACAGGCGGTGTTAACCATCAATAATTACCTGTGAATAATGACAAAAATTGGAGGAGGGGCGTTTTACAAGTGACCACGTGTGAAGGGTTACACAAGTGATCACATATGACGGTTAGTACAAGTGATTACGTGTGAAGAGTAGCACACGCGACCACGTGTGAAGGGTTAAACATGTGGACAACGTGCGGTAGGTACGTGTTCCCAGTTGTCGTGATTAGGGGAGTTGCTGATATGGTCCGAGATGGCTGATTTACTGTCTGGTTTGATGGTTGAAGTTTTGTGCTCTTTGATTCTGGAGTTGATGGCTCGGGATGTTTCACCTACATAGGATTGTCTACAGTTACAGTCAATTATATACGCTACACCTTTATGTGCTTGGTTGTGTTTCTGCCGTTGGCTCTTAATTAGTATGGTATTGAGGGAGGTGGATCTGGTGAAGTAGGTGCCAATATTGGCCTCTGATGGCCTCTTGAAATAGAAATTTTGAAATGATTATTAATACATAACGCTTACATAAGGCCCCAACTGTTAATCCTCCACCTACCATATATATTCTGTACCATGTTCATTATTCAGCCTTGCTTGACAACAGTTTAAAGATATATACCGAAACGTCGCCATTACAGTAAAATAAAGAGTTTGTTGTCCATAAATTGTTGTTGGTCAATATGGCGACAGTCTCTTGCAAGGACATTTTCATGTATGTTTTGAATTAAATTTAACATCAACATAGTCAAAGGCCTATTTTAATCTATGACGTAAGCAGAATACTGATTTTCAGGTTTTTGTTGGCATTTATTAAAGAAGGCATGTAAGTGCAAACATATCGTCTATGGTGAATAATTTCCAAATAGTGTTTAAAGGAAATATACCCCTATAATTATTTGGAAGTGTGGTGTCCCCGGATTCGTGTACGGGTATTATATAATATGTTTAAATGTGGACTAAAATCGAGCGAATGCTGCCTAAGAAACTCAGGAGGTACATCATCTCTCCCGGATGATTTGAAGGATATTAGATTTGAGTGAGTTTTTTTTCTACTTCTGTCGTCTTTTATTGCTACTGACAGCATATCAGTACTGTTACATTGATCAGGGTTCATACAATCACGATCACAGTCGACATTATACACATTGATATCAAATTCATTACTTTGTCTAGTTTCAGGATTTAACAAGTCCTTCAAATATGTTGCCTTAGCTTGAGGGGAATACCATTTCAATATTTTTACTCTGCAGGAGCGACTGGATACTTTGTTATAAATTTCTTGCCATCTCTTGAAGTGATAGCTGAGTTGACGTTCTCAATGGCATTTATGTTAAATAATTCTTTGTTTTCCTTACATGTCTTCCTATTTGTTTTGTTCAAGGTAAAGATTAAGATTCTGAGCATTCCTTGATAAAGAGAAGATGAGAGCATATATATTTGATGCCTTTTAATTCTCTGTATTCTTTAGGCTGTTTCTTTGAAAAAGCATTATCATTTCTTGTTTTTATCAGTCTTTCAAATTGCGATCCAGCAAAATGGAACAACTCCGTTAATTTCTCAAAAAACACATTTACATTTTCATTTACCAGTCAAAGAAAATTGCTGAATAATTGCTTGATCATGATCAGAGTCAGAATTATCAGTAGATATGTGTTTCCCTGCATCATTCCATATGTATCGTTGCGCTACTCTCTCATTAAACTCACCAAACATATGTATATCTATATCGCATGTGTTTGACTTTTCTGGGAGAGTATAAACTCAACCTAATGCCATTGTATCAGTTGTGCCAATCACCTTTACAAAACTTTTAATGCGTACAGCGTACAACTTACAGATTTTACAGCGTACAGCCTTCCAAAATGATGAGAAATACTATAATGTAAAGTGCTACCCCTACCGGATATCTCGCACACTGCTTAATGCGCTTTGCTAGCACACTAAGATTTACACAATCTAAAAACAAATTCTCAACTTTATCAGTGTCATATAAGACTGTTTCAAATGATGCAGAAAATGTCACATTTCACCAGGAAATTATACCAATCTGGATCATCTACATTTGAGTACAAGCTATGTGAGTGAGTGAGTAAGTGAGTTTGGTTTAACACTGCTTTTAACATTATTCCAGTTAAATCATGGCGTGGCAGCTTAATGTGGGAGGAAAGCCCGAAGTGATGCAGGTCTCAGACGTTTACCACTTCGGTGAGACCCACGAGCACGGGTATGGTGCTGACAAACCTAGAAACATAATCGGGGTGAACCGGGATTTGAACCCAAAATCAAAGGTTTCTGGCATGCCCAAAGGACGCAACTTACACAACTGGGCCTCCCGTGTCCCCTTTTCCATGTTCAAGCTCAATTAGATGGAACCACAGAATCTGCTTTAATGCCTTGATTGCACACTTGTTACCCTGTGTAGTCGTGATACTGGGTGAGAAAAAATATATGTCTAATGTCAAGTGCTATAACGGTGGTTCATTTTTACATTTCAATTCTTCTTAGTTGTGTTCTCTGTTTGAATCAAACATAGATTCATATGACTGTGGCGGTAGAATGTCTACATGTTGTCCAATATCTGTTTGCTGTTCACAATATGTGGTGCAAAGCGGTGGTGCAACATCCGTTTGTTGTCCGCTATATGTGGTACTGGGGGGTGATCCTATGTCCGTTTTTTGTCCACAGTCTGTGGCGCAAGGGGCTGGTGCAATGTCCGTTTGTTGTCCACTATATGTGGCACGAGGGAGTGGTTTTACGTTTGTTTGTTGTCCACCATATGTGGCGCATGGGGGTGGTGCAATGTCCGTTTGATGTCCACTATTTGTAGTGCACGATGGTGGTGCACCAGCCGTTTGCTGTCCACTATATGTGCCGCTCAGAAGTGGTCCTATGTCCGTTTGTTGTCCACTATATGTGGCCCAAGGGGGTGGTGTAATGTACGTGTGGAAGACACATGATGCTATTGCCATCACAATCGCTACTGATGTAGCTTGACAAATTGCCCGCAAAAGATTTCGCGTAGGTCATATGGGTGGAGCTCGTCGTAATCGGGACCTGCCCTGGTAATAACTTCTGAGATGGAAGGACTATATCTGTGGCGCCAAGGTCCATCTGTTCTTCATTTTGTTTCCTCTTCTTTGACATGCAGCAAACACATGTAACAAAGAATGGGAGGATGCATGCGACGATAATGAATATGTTTCCTGCTTATCCGTCGTCCTCTGCGTCATCGTCATTGCCCGAAACCAATACCGGTGGATCTGTAAACAAATAAAAGTAATAACAATCACTTGATAGTGTACATTACGCTAAAAGAACGTCCAAGGTTCGAATCCATTGGACGCTAACACGCAAAATAATATTTTTGCCCCACGACCTTTGTTCACAGGTTGAGAAGTATATATATTCCTGAACACTGTCGTCATATCGACCATAGCAGGGTCTGAAAATCTCAGTAGACTGAATTGAAGGACTTCCCTTATGCACGGAGATTTAACTTTTACAAAGTCTTATAAAAGGGTGAGGTTAGGTGAAATATTGTGTAATGTCGCGTTCAAGATTATTGCACTTATAGGCCGACATGCATATGTACGACTGGTATATATGGTATACATCCGGTCTTAAATGGGGGAGCTATGGCCAACAACGTAAACGCAGAGGTCAACGCACTTTTGGCAGGCGGTCATATTCGCAAACACAGTTAACATTGTCCGATTTTCGTGATTTTAGTGTCTAATAATATGTTTTCTAACATGATAAATTCAACCAAAAACATTTTAAAAGTATTGGTGGTTGCTACGACCTTGAAATTTCAAAATGCTGCTGAAAGGTTAACATAAATTGGCCAACTTAACAAACAAAAAATCCAAACCAGGTTTACAAATGATTAAATGTTGGTCAAAATACATGAACAATGGAAACACTGCATTTTTAAAACAAATAATAAGATCCATGATGTGTGTATGGGTGTATCATTTTTGTTAGAGCACAGGTTCGACATAATATCGTATCATATAAAGTGTATTGTCCAACTGAAGAATGAAGGTTACACAAGTAATCACGTGTGGAGGGTGGTACAAGTGAATACGTGCGTATTAAGGGTTAAACAAGGGACCGCATATGACAGGTAACACAAGTGATCACGTGTGGAGGGTGGTACAAGTGAATACGTGCGTATTAAGGGTTAAACAAGGGACCGCATATGACAGGTAACACAAGTGATCACGTGTGGAGGGTGGTACAAGTGAATACGTGCGTATTAAGAGTTAAACAAGGGACCGCATATGACAGGTAACACAAGTGATCACGTGTGGAGGGTGGTACAAGTGAATACGTGCGTATTAAGGGTTAAACAAGGGACCGCATATGACAGGTAACACAAGTGATCACGTGTGGAGGGTGGTACAAGTGAATACGTGCGTATTAAGAGTTAAACAAGGGACCGCATATGACAGGTAACACAAGTGATCACGTGTGGAGGGTGGTACAAGTGAATACGTGCGTATTAAGGGTTAAACAAGGGACCGCATATGACAGGTAACACAAGTGATAACGTGTGGAGGGTGGTACAAGTGAATACGTGCGTATTAAGGGTTAAACAAGGGACCGCATATGACAGGTAACACAAGTGATCACGTGTGGAGGGTGGTACAAGTGAATACGTGCGTATTAAGGGTTAAACAAGGGACCGCATATGACAGGTAACACAAGTGATAACGTGTGGAGGGTGGTACAAGTGAATACGTGCGTATTAAGGGTTAAACAAGGGACCGCATATGACAGGTAACACAAGTGATCACGTGTGGAGGGTGGTACAAGTGAATACGTGCGTATTAAGAGTTAAACAAGGGACCGCATATGACAGGTAACACAAGTGATCACGTGTGGAGGGTGGTACAAGTGAATACGTGCGTATTAAGAGTTAAACAAGGGACCGCATATGACAGGTAACACAAGTGATCACGTGTGGAGGGTGGTACAAGTGAATACGTGCGTATTAAGGGTTA